GGCTGAACAATTATCGGGTAATCTACCTTTTTCACATAAGGATTGTTTGTTGCCATCAGTGATAGCAACAGAAGTTGCTATCTATTACATCTGTTACACAAGTCTTTTGCCGTCTGTTACTCGAGATGATACATGCACGAACAGCCATATTCCATTATGTAGTGGAGTTTTTTTAAGGTCTGATTCAACTTTAGTTTGATACTCTGTGATATCTAAACAGTTACAGTCTATGCTTTCTATTCTTCTCTCCTTACCATAAGAAACTAGCTGGAGTTAGGTTAGGCACTTCCCAGAGCCCACTGACCCCAGCAGGAACTTGGGGAAGCACGGGACTGCCCAGCTGGCCTCACAGGGTGCCTTTGGCCAGGCCCTGCTGGGTCTGGCGCTGGGCCAAGAGCTCCTGGTTTGAAGAGCTGCCAGCCTGTGGCGCCTTTCCTGAGGGGCACTTTCATTAGCACAGGCATCCCTGGCTTCGCCTTTACTTCCTCTTTCTTTGCTTTGAAGACACCATTCCTCTCCTTGGCAGGCCGGGAGCTCCACCATTTGTATTCCTTGCCACCCCTGCTGGTGATCCGGCAACTGCAAAGGGTCTTTGGTTTCCTTTACTCTGGGAGGGGACTTAGTGACTTTTCCTCCTCCTCTGCTGCAAGGATCCTTCCCCAGTCCAGCAACGCTCTGGGAAACAGAACTTTAATGCATCCCACTTCAAAGCATCTTGGCGGACTTCTCTCCAGCACGAGCTCTACTTCAGGGATTGTAAACTGGCATCTTCTTTTGTTTGTATTGAGTTTTTAAGTTTTTTTCAGCTGATTACCAGCACTTAGAAATCCCGTTTTACATAAAAAGTTAGAATTCTGGCCTCTGACAAAGCAGACAATTTGGCAAAACAGGGTCGGTACTGTAAAAACAGCTAAGTAGTGGCCCCCATAACAGAGTGCACTTTCCTCAGTTAGCCACAGTCCCCACCCAGCCCTGCAGCCCTCCTTCTCATCATTTACGGGCCCTGTAGTTATTTGAGTTTACAACCCTAGTTCTGATGTTCCTTATGTTGCCCCCCAGCCTTTCTGAAGCCTTACTGACAACTGACCCTGGTGGACTTATAGCCTGTCAGTAAAACAACAACAAAACCTTAATGGTCATTTCATCCATTCACCCTTCCATAACCTGAATCCTTTCTACCGCCTTCTGACCAACAGCCAGCTAGTCTTTGCTCCTGCTCCTGAATTCTCCTCCACATCCCTTTCTCACTTGCAACACCCAGTTCCTGGGCTTTTTCCCTCCTCAGTGTCCACACGGTACCCTTTCCCTGCACCTCCTTGTTGCTTGAGCCTCTAGAACCTTCCCCGAGCCCTGGCAACCTCTCCACATCCTCTTATTTCCTCTTGTACTTTTTTTTTTTTTTTTTTTTTGAGGCAGAGTCACACTGTCACCCAGGCTGGAGTGCAATGACGCGATCTCAGCTCACTGCAACCTCCGCCTCCAGGATTCACGCAATTCTCCTGCCTCAGCCTCCTGAGTAACTGGGATCATAGGTGCACACCACCACACCTGGCTAATTTTTAAAATATTTTTAGTAGAGATGGGGTTTCACTATGTTGACCAGATTGGTCTCGAACTCCTGACCTCGTGATCTGCCTGCCTTGGCCTCCCAAAGAACCAGGATTACAGGTGTGAGCCGTTGCGCATGGCCTCCTCTTCTCTTCTTTCTTCCTTTTACATTATTTCTCTCCCCAGTCTTCTTTTGTATCTCTCTTTGATCTTTGTTTTTTCCAGTCTCTCTCTCTCTCTCTCTCTCTCGCTCATTTTCTTCTTCCGTCTCTCTGTCTGACATCCCCTATTTCCTTTTTCCCTCACACTCAGTTGTTTTCTCGTTCTCTCTGCATGAGCTGAGCTGTGCTGTGCCCTGGCTCCCCCACGTCTGACAGACGGCTCCGACTCTTTCTCTGGGCACCACCATGCCTGCACAGTGTCTTACGCTGCCTGCCCTGTCTCCGCTGCTTAGTCCAGTGGCTCCCACACACACAGCTGTGCACTGGGCTTTCCCTTGCCTTCAGGGTCAGCACCTTAACTCTTTCTCTCTCTGGCCCTCTACGTATGCCATTTCCTCCCCTTTCTCTTTCCAATCTGCTTTCTTTTTCTCTTTATCCCTTTCTTCTTACAAAAACCTTCTCAGCTTCCCTTAGCGATTCCTTAATTGGTTTTTCATTCCATCCACTAATCTTCTGCAGGTTCATAGTAGTATCAGGCCAGCTTTTAGTTACAAAATGAATCTTTAAAAGGCCTTTCCCTATTGGGTCCTCTGGATTTAATGCTGAATATTTTCTCATTTGATCCCTGAGCTTCTGCAGGAACACAGAGGGAGTCTCTTTTGCTGTCGTTGTTGTTGTTGATGTTGTTGAATCTCAAATGCTTTCGAGACATTTTGTGTCCTAGGAGTGGACTTTTTAATCCCTTTAATGATTAGTTTCCTTAGGCTCTGCATTTGAGCCTGATCTCTGCAGTTATTGTTATCCCATCTGGGATTTGCATTTGGGAATTTCTGCTCAGTTGGCAGGACTTCTTGCCAGGGAGGATGCTGTCTTTCCCAAATGATTATGGCTGTCCTTCTAATTATTCGCCTCTCTTCCCCAGTAAACAGAATGTTCATGACTGACATCATCTCAGCTTAAGTATAAAAATCGGGTCCTGAAAATTGATCTAGCTACTCTGCTAAACCAAGGGGATCTTCCAAGAGTGGCCTCATTTCCTTTTTAAAATTCCTCACCTCAGTACTTATTAGAGGTGCACTCAAACCCAACTCCTCCCCGTTCCATAGACGTCTCTAAGAGAGTACATATTAGACTCCTGCTGTTTAGAAGAAATTGGGAAATTTTTAACGTCCTTTTTACTTTGCCCTAATTCTTTCCTCAAGTTTGGATAAGGAATTAAGGGAGCATTGGGCTTAGCGTCTTCATGACCCCCAGATTCCTCTTCCTCCGACCTTCCCATTGCCTCCTGATCTCCCTGTCCTCTGCTCTGTGAGATATGGCAGGAGGGGAGTGTGTTAGGGGATCTCAGGGCTTTTCACTGGGCAAGGGCTCTTTCCTGTGTTAACATGGGGTTAATTCACTAATACAACAAAGAACATAATCCATGTCCTCTTGTGAGGATGAGGTTTTATCATTCACATAGAGAGTTAAAGCTTGGCACACCCAGTCCTTTTCTGAGCCAAACTTGGGCCAAAAGTCCAAAGGCTGACAAACGGGCTTTTTGGGCCTGGTAAAACAGTACTGTATCTTTTGCTTTTCCTTTTCCCTGATTTGAGGATTATCCCTTCAAACTATCTGGTAGAATGTCAGACGGGATCTTTTTAGTTGCCTCTTTTCTTTGTTCCCAAGGCCTAGAGTTTCCCATCTTTGGATAGTCTCTGTGCCTGAGGTTTTCCCTGTGTATTCAGCCCTCTTTACTGGAGGTTTCTTGCACACCCTGAGACCACCGAAAAGGCCCAACCACCAGGGCAGTACTTACAGACCGGTTTTCCTACCTTGGCTTGTGCGTGATGTTGCCCGGCTGCCACGGTACCTGCTTTTCTCCCTGTGTCCCCTCTACTGCCTCCTGAATAACAGTCTCGGGTTTGTCTGTGGCTTCTGCATGGAGTAAAAAAATCCAGACAGAGCAGGTAACTCAAGTGGGATGCGTCTTCCTTCTCTGCTGGACTCTCACTCTGTGCAGGCACAGAGATCCGCTTGCAGGCCACCAAGTTGTGAGAAACAGCTCCCCCGTCCAAACCCACAGAATGGACTCATGAAACCTGAATAGTAGCGGAAGTGAGGTTTTTAATGACAGTCTTGCAAAATCAGGTGTCTGGTGTGTAGGCACACCCAGCACAGTAGGTTGTTTGTTTGTTTTTGAGACGGAGTTTCATTCTTGTTGCCCAGGCTGGAGTGCAATGGCATGATCTCGGCTCACCATAACCTTTGCCTCCCAGTTTCAAGCAATTCTCCTGCCTCAGCCTCCTGAGTAGCTGTGATTACAGGCATGCACCACCATGCCCGGCTAATTTTGTATGTTTAGTAGAGATGGGGTTTCTCCATGTTGGTCAGGCTGGTCCTGAACTCCCAACTTCAGGTGATCCACCTGCCTTGGCTTCACAAAGTGCTGGGATTACAGGCATGAGCCACTGCGCCTGGCCCCACCACAGTTTTAACAAATAATTTATCCCTTAATGCGCAGGGCCCTCCCCTGGTTCCTTATAGGCTGAGTACTATGGGGTTATAATCTTCCCAGACGTCACCTACTGATTGTTAGGCAGGACTATAGGTGTTTCTTTTAGGATTGTCTTGCTGCATTTTGTTGCAGCCCACAATGGCATGCAATCCTAGTTAGCTCAGGGACTCTTCAAGTATTTGACTTATGACCTAAGTAGCTGGGCAGGCTGATAAGAACAGACAAAGTGAGCTGTTTTGCAGACTATTAAACTTTTATCTTAGTCTAAATTTCTTTGGTTCAGGTGAGGGCAACTAAGTGGAGTGAAGGGGGAGGAAAGGGGGGAGCCAACAAGCAGGCATTGGCTATCCAAGCAGGGGCCTAGTATATCCTGTTTCTTCTGTAGTTTACTGACCTCAGCCAATTCAAGGCACTTTGTCTTGGAAATGGACCACGGTATACGTTATCGCCTTCACTCCATGAATATGATTGGTGTGTAAGGTGTGTATTAATTTTATTTAAGTGTAATTGCTGTTAGCTAGTTGGGATGATAATTTATTCTAGGCAAACTACAAATATGGATTTATTACTTTAGTCACAGGTACAGAATTTATTCCATTTGTAGAATGATGTTTTGTTTTTGTAGTAGATTAGAAAACTTTTGTTCAGTGCTTTGGCAGAATTAAACTAGGGTATAATCTTTTATGAGATTTTGGCATATTTTAATACTATTTACATAGACACTCAGCTTATTTGTTATATGGACAATAAAGGAACTATTGGACTAACAGTAGTAAATTTTTTTCCCCCAAAAGGTAATTAATAAAATGTCTCCAACATCTCTAAAGATCACACTAAGGCAACTCATGGAGGGGTCTTCAAAGACCTTGCAAGAAGTACTAACTATGGAGTATCGGCTGAGTCAAGCTTGTATGGTAAGAATTAAATTAAAAAATTATTGTCATTTTTTAGTTCTGAAAGTAACATACGTTTATGGTAGAACTTGTAAAATATACCAAGGGCAAACAAGAAAACTAAATTCACATGTAAATTTGCTCTACAAAAACACAACAGGCCAGTTAGCTTTAGAGGTGTGGAAGTATTGCTATCCAGATTGTTATTAAGTCTTTGAAAGCAGACATTCCTAATGACTTTAATAGTTATTAAAATGTTCGGCCAGGTGTGGTGGCGTACGCCTGTAATCCCAGCACTTTGGGAGGCCGAGGCGGACAGATCAGAAGGTCAAGAGATCCAGACTATCCTGGCCAACATGGTGAAACCCTGTCTCTTCTAAAAATAGAAAAATCAGCTGGGTATGGTGGCATATACCTGTAGTCCCAGCTACTCACCAGGCTGAGGCAGGAGAATCGCTCCAGCCTGGGAGGTGGAAGTTCCAGTGGGCTGAGATCGCACCACTGTACTCCAGCCTGGTGACAGCGAGACTGTGTCTCAAAAAAAAAAAAAAAAAAAAATGATGTTCAAAAGATGTTCAAAGTAGTTCATCTAGTTAGAAATAACTCTATTAGCCATGTCTTAAAGTCACTTCTTGTGGGATGTAAATGGTAGCCGATGTCTATTGTTTAATATGTGCAGGTACTATGCTAGGCACTTTGTATGTATTCTCTCCGTTAAATCTTATGGTATCTTTACGAGGATTGGTACTGTGTGGCATAGTGACGTAACCTGCCTTAGGTTGTCCCACTATTAAGTGCAGAGATACGGCATATGAAACCAGGCAGTCTTACTCTGGTGCCTGCACTCTTGACCACTGTCCTGTATACTTCACACATTCCATGTTTTTCATTGAACTTTTAGTGCACTGCCTAGATTGATTGATTCCTGCTTTCATTCTCTCAGCAAATATGTTAGCTATGTGTCAGGCACTATGCTCAGTGTTAGGCTTAGGTTGTTGAATAAGAAGACACAGTCCTTTATTTTCATAGTTTAGTCTACTGAGACTATAAAGAACAAGCAAACAAAATAAGTGAAATAATTATAAATTGTAATAAGTATGCTAAAAGAAAACACAGTGTTGTTGATAGAAGAGATTGATGCAGGGACAGGAGGGAGTTGGGGGGCAGTGGGACACCTGCTTTAAGTAAGTAGGTCAGGGAAGACATCTTTGTGATGTGACTTCATTGTGATCTGAAGAATGAGAAAGGAGTATGTTGAGAAGTCTCTTGGGCTTAAGCAGGGGGTGATTTGATTTTTCATTTGATTTGATTCAGTTTGCTTTAAGAAGGAAATGATTGCTGCTAAGTGGACTCAGGGTTCGAGGGGTTCAAGAACGGTTTAGAGACCAGATATAAATGTCCTGCACTGATGCAGGTGTGAAATAGTAGTGCTTAGACAAGCGTGGTGGCAATGAAGAGAAGTAAATGCATGTGAGACACATGTGGGAGATAGAATTGATAGGACTTGATGGATGTGAGGGAAGGAATGCATTTAGGACTTAGTGCTTAGAAGATCAGAGATTCAAATATGAAAGACACCAACAGCAACTAAAAAGACCTTGGAGATACATTATTTACTAAACAAGAGTGCTTACTATGTGATAGGCACTGTTAGAGGTACCCTGGTTTATAGGTTCCAGGTACCTAGGTATGCTCCAGGGGTAGAGGCTGAAAAGGCAGAAAACAGTTTAAATCATTATCTTGGGGAATAGAGTAGGATAACAGACAAAATCCTTGCCTTCATGGAACTTACTTTATAATGGGGAAATAGACTGTAAATGAGATTAATACATAAAATATATATTATATTATTATTAAGGAGAAAAAGGAAGCAGAATATGTGATATAGGGTAACAGCGGGATGAATTATAGATAGGGTGACCAGATTAGCCCTCACTGAGATGTTCTTTGAGGGAATTCCTGAGGAAGTGAGCCATACAATTATCTGAGGAAGAGCATCCCAGGCAGAGGGAACTGCAAGAACAAAGCTCTGAGGCAGGAGCATGAGGCTCTGTGGAGGGGGATAGGGGATAGAGGTGGTAGTGAGTGAGAGATAAGGCCACAGGGAACAGTGTAGAGAAAGGCTGTGCAGAGCATACAGAACCTTGATGGTCTCTATAATGACTTTGGCTGAATAAATTGGGAAGCCACTAGATGATTATGAGCAGCAAAATGCCATGATCTTATACTTTAAAGAACTGATCACTCAGGCTGCTATGTTGAGCGCTGAATGGATAAGATCACATAGAAAGAAAATGAGAGTCCAGACCTGAGCCCTAAGGAACACTGACATTTTGAGGTGTGGTAGAGAAAGAGCAGTAGGAAGGAAAAAAAGATGGAGAGGCAGGAGGACCAGAAGAGTGTGGTGTCACAAAAGAAAGAGAGGAACGTTTGAGGGAGGAGAGAGGGTGTAATGGGCAGTGTTGAACACTGCCAAAGTGTAGATGAGGTTAGAAGTGTCATTTGACTTTGGCATTGCTGACATCATGGGTGGTTTTGGCAAGCCATATTAGAGGAGTGGGGAGAGGAAAAATGGGATGTGAAGAAGTGGAGAGAATATGTGTAGACGAATATTCTTGAAAGAGAAATAGGATAGAAGCTGAAACTGTGGAATCAAGTGAGGTTCCTTTTTTATTTTGTAAGATGGAAGGTACTAGAACATGTTTAAAAATGATTGAGAATGATCCAATAGAGAAAAAAGATTGCGTTGATGATACGAATGGTAGTTAACATTTACTGAACTCTTAGTGTCAGACACTGTGCTTGGATATGGATTAAAATAATCCTAGGATGGATGTATAAATTACATTTTCATGTAAGGAAATTAGGAGTTGGAGAAATTACTAGTCCAAGGTCACAAAGTTAATATGTAGTCAAATCAGGATGTGAACCTAGACGTAAATGAACTGCATGCATTTAGCCACTCAATTATATTGCCTACATTGATGATTTTAGAAAAAGAAAAGTAAGTGACCACATCAAGCAAAGTCCATCCTTGAGAAGGCAAGAGGGGATGTGAATTGGAATGCAAGGGAGCACTGGCCTTTGAAAAGGGGATGGTCCTTTCCTCCATGGCATTGAAAGGGAAGGTATGTGCAGATAGCCGCAGTTGCCTGCAGACTTTTAGTGCTCTCAGAGGACAAGATTTCCCATCTAAGGGCTTCTTGTTTTTTTATAGAAGTCAGAGGTTAAGTAATTGACTGAGACTTAATAAGAGTGCACGCTACGGGTAGAGGTTGAGAAGGCAGAAGACACTTTAAATCATTATCTTGGGGAGTAGGGAAGAGACCTTGGTGTTTGGCAGTTTTCTGTGCCCGTTTGAGATTTTTGATCATGAATTTTAAATGAAACCAGTCACGGTTATACAATTTTCTGCAGCAAGATGTAGCTGCTGAAGTGCAGGCAAGGGGTACATGGTAGGGTTTAGTTGGTGCCAAGATTTTGCTAGGTTTCTATAAAAGAGAAAAAGATGAGAGGGAGATGACAGCATTTTGAAAGGAAAGTGATCATTTTAAAGGACTGGTAAAATTGGGCTGCATGAAGAGCAAAGTGAAGCCAGTGCAGATAGGGAGAAAGTCATAGGGGACCTCGGTAAGATCGAGGATTTGTAGCAGTGGAGATACTGGAGCAAATAAGATTAGGAGGTAGTGATCAGAGTGTGCTGTCAGACATGGTTCAGTCTCTAAACGTCATGGTTCAGATTGTGGCCATGGGAGTGGAAGGCTGAAGTGAATAGAGGAGAGAGAAGATCACCCAGAATAATGACACCCACAAATTATCCCCATTTAATCTCAATTTTCTTTCAGAGAGGTCATGACTTTCATGAAGGCATCAGAGCTCGTAAGTGGCAAATGGGAACTTACCATTTTGGGGAAATGGGATTTGTGATCATATGCTGTTAATTAAAGAAGATACAGATTGTGTACCCCAAATCCTAAAACCCAAAATGTACCAAAATCTGAAACTCTTTGAGCACCAACATGACACTCAGAGGAACTGTTCATTGGATCGTAAGTATAATGCAAATATTCCAAAATCTGAAAAAAAAAAAAAAATCTCAAACCTGAAACACTTATGATCCCAAGCATTTCAGATAAAGAATACTCAACCTATAGTTGTTTTAGTAGTGAAAGTTAAACTTTTATAAAGATTGTAAAATTGTGTATGTTTTTTAAAAAAATGTTACCATGTGGGCTATAAAAAGGAAGATCAGTCTTGAAATTGATATTGTTTTAAAAATAGACTTAACTTGGCCACTGCTCTCTAATTTGTATATAAGGTAATCCTGCCCCTATACTCATGTACTACCTCTGATAAGTGCAGCACTAAGTTTGTAAACTCATCCTGCTGCTGTGGCCTTTAAAACATGCATTTATTCCCTTACAAAAGCCCTCAAGTCCCCTACCTTTCTCCCTCTCTTGTACTGGCCTGGCAAAATTGACCAGCGATCTAACGCTACTTTCCACCTTCTTGCCTGTACCTGAGCAGTTAAACACTGCTGGGGAAAAAGACCATATGACATCATTAGTAACATCTGCAGATTTTCTTACTAATGCTTTCTATTTTTGCTTATAATCTCCAGTGCCAGCATATTTGGAAAAAGCAAGTGAAATACTTGACTTTTTTTTTTCTAGCAAACTTGGAACAATTCGTTTTTATGTGTAACTCTTACCCCTATAAAAAGCTGTTATTTATGTTGTATAAAATGAGTTGTTGCCTCTGCATGTATTTGCATATCTAATGTTCCTGTTTTTATTAATTATTTGACTGTAGTGCAGACTCTGGATACACTTTTTTTTTTTTTTTTTTTTGAGACAGGCTGGAGTTCAGTGGTGCAATCTCGGCGCACTGCGACCTCCACCTCTCAGGTTCAAGTGATTCTCCTGCCTCAGCCTCCTGAGTAGCTGGGACTACAGGCACATGCCACCAGTCCTGCCTAATTTTTCTATTTTTAGTAGAAACAGGGTTTCACCATGTTGGCCAGGCTGGTCTCAAACTTCTAATCTCATGTGATCCACCTTCCTCAGCCTCCCAAAGTGCTGATTACAGACGTGAGCCACTGTGCCCAGCTTGGATATACTTTATCTGAATAAGAGGTTATTATGCTCTCTGAGCTCTTAAGCTTTGATAAACACCAGTCACTCTTACAGAGTTCTCTTCATTTCTGACATGACACAATATCAAAAATAAGACCTTGATTGAAATATTTTTAGGAATCAGCACATGGAGTTAATCAGAGGAGATGGCTGTGTGTCTTGTAGAAACTAAGTAAAATAGGCATTTTCCTCACGAATTTCTCTGCACATTCTTGCTGCATATGGATGATAGCCCAGACCTCTGATTTTAGAGGACCCGTACACTACTTAGGTTATATTGCTAAAGTATTCATTATATGTTGTAGCAGGCCTTCCTTAAAACAAAAAATACTGTTTTTAGATAAATACTGTTATTTTGAGGAAAAAATGTTGAAACTAAGTAGTATCAAAGTTCTTATTCATAAAGGAAGTGCTTACTTATCCTGCTACGTTTTAATGAAGAGAAAGTATATTGCCGCCTCTTTCAGTATAGACTTTTTATTCAGAAAGCAGTATCTGTTCTGAGTAAAACTGCAGTGTTCTTGCATAATCAAATGTTTGCTGCATTTTGCTAATAATAAAAACATATTAGCAAATTAAAGTAAGATAGCAAATTTAACAGTTGTTAAAAATTCTTATTGTTAACATCTAGAACAAATTACTACTTTCTGGTTATAGACGAAAAAAGACTGTCTTAGTAGGGCTGGATACCCACTCAAATTCCATGTAGTGGTTATTTCAGGAGACTTGAAAAACCTGAGCTGCCTACATGGCAAGAACTTATGTTATATCTATTATAGTAAAAAAAAAATGTTAACTTGAAATAAAATAACAAATTTGTTTAATATTCTCTTTCCTCTTGTCCTTCAGTGGGATCTCAAGGAGATAGTATTGACCGGAAAATTTACAGAAGAGATTCTTGTAGAGAGAATGTGCCAGGGTTATTCTTTGTTTACACTGTCCATTGAATATAAAACTTTCACATAGTAGGGATCAGAACACCAGTGTTTAATATTGCCACTGATTTGATACAAGAATCTCATAGTAGGGAGTTAAATCTTAAAAACAAAACCTCCAGTATCTGCATTTTATTGTATGTAAAAGCTTCCTTCCCCCTACCTACCAAGGCAGCCTTGGTCCTTGGTTTCCATACTGCTGCTTTAACTATTTTAGTCTTTAAATGCTTAAAAAAAAAAAAAAAAAAAAAAAAAAAAAAAGCTAAATTCAGGTTTTCTAGTTCACTGTAGTTTGCACATTTAAATATTTCCATTCTTTACAAGAATTATGTGCACTTTAAGCATGGTTGAAATTTGCTGCCTCAACCATAACTTAAAAAAAAAATATTGAGATCATTGTAGATTCACATGAGGTTGTAAGAAATAATAAAGAGATCTTGCATACCTTCCACGCAGTCTCCTAAATGATACTATTTGTATAACTACAGTATACTGGATATTCTTCTCCCCCTTTTTAGGAGAAGTTACAGATGGCCTCATAATCCTGTGGGGATACTATGTGGCTATAGTAAGTGATGACTACACTGAAATAGGAGAACTCGTTTCATGATAACCTGATTTTTTAAAAAATCCAGAGCTGTCCAAACTGGAGGATTCAGCAGAACAACAGTTACACATTTAATTATGCATGAAGTCCCGTTTTCTCTACCTTAAGCAATTAATTTCCTCCCAAAATTCAATGTGGAGGAGATTAGAAGGCACATCTGGCCCCTCTGCCCTCCCCTGCCTTTGTTTCAAACTAAACACTGATTTTAGCTGTTTTGTAATGTGGAGGTTTCATTTGCAATTTTATTTCAAGAAGAAAAAAAGAATTCTAATGTTTAAACTACTGGATTAATTGAGTAGGCTTTATTAAAGCTAGAGACATGCAGCTTAGGAAGTTAGAAAATACCCACACCAATAATCAGAAGTATATTGCTATCCATCCCTGGGGGTTTAATTAGAAAAATAAAGCACATGTAAAAACTTGAAGGGAAAAATGTGTTTTAGAAAGATGTGCCTAGTATAAGATAGTTACTGTTAATTCAGTAATTAAAATCTAGTAATACCAGAAAAAAAGGCACTAACATTTGTATCTTCTCTTGACAGTTTTAATTGATAAAGACCAGAGTCCAAAATGGAAACCAGCTGATCTGAAAGAAGTTACTGATGAATATTTGAATAATTACTTTAAGTCTTTGGGAAGCAATGATTTGAAATTTTGAGGTGACAGGCTTTTAAGGTATATTTTGTAGCATGGGTTGGCAATCTCCAGCACATGGGCCAAATCCAGCCTGCTGCCTGTTTTTATATACTCTGCAAGCTAAGAATGGTTTCTGCATTTTTAAATGGTTGGGAAAAGAAATCAAAGACTAATGTTTCATGACATGTGAAAATTATATGAAATATCACAGTTCACAAATAAAGCTTTATTGAAACTAGCTATACTCATCTGTTTATATATTTTCTGTGGCTGCTTTGAAATGAGTAGTTGCAATAGAGATGGTAAGGCCCACAAAGCCTAATTATTCACTGTCTGGATTTTGTCAGAAAAAGTTTGCCAATCCCTATTTTAGAAGATGGAAAAATGAAGGTTTTTAGATACTTTCTTCAGTAGTGTATCTATTGAAATGGGATCTTTATTTTGCTTTTGGTAGTGGCTTATATGTGGGTTAAATCAACTTAGGTATAGAATATAAAAAAGACCCCAAAAATTGTTTTGGATATTAACTGTGTTAATATCTCAGAATTTTCTCCATATATGAGTGTGTTTTAAAGTAAGAGTTACTGTAGCAGAAGAGCTCCTTTAATAAACATTAGAAATCTTGAGCAAAGAGAAAAGGTTTTTATGAAGTTCTCTCTTCAGTATTACTCAGCCTTGGTCTTCCCTAAAATAGTCAGTACCATCCCATGGTGAAAGTGAAAGCATTATTTTCTTGTTATTTGCAGTATTCGTTAATCCAGTAGAATGAGAAATTAGGAAACTACAATCTCTTAGATAGAGACACTCTTTTTTATAATTTACCTAAGACTTCTGTGTGATAATTATCCTTATAAACAAGGTTCAAATCAGGAGGAAAAAAATGGAAAGCAAGACGACTTTTGTTCAAAAGATATATTCAATAATTGATATTGTTAATAAGTACTTTTTAAGGTATGACAGAACTAAAAGGTATTCCAGACTCAGAACCTTAAAGTTCTAGGCAAGAATAATTTTTAAACTAAAGGTAACTTTATAACTTATTTTGTAACTTGTTTTAGTTTCTCCTTCATCCCATATTCTTTAGGAGAACTTCAGGTTTGTAAGAACGAAAAGCCAGCAGAACTGAAAAAGACATTAAAGATGATGTTCTGCACCTTCTCATAGATAAAGAAATGGCAGCCCAGAAGGTACTGCTTTATGTTTTCTCAATTCTTAATCTGTTTTACGTGAAGCATTTTTCTTTCAAATAATTGCATAACAAATCTGGAATGTAGATGCCATGATAGGCCGGACATGGTGGCTCACGTCTATAATCCCAGCACTTCGGGAGGCCGAAGTGGGTGAATCACAAAGTTAGGAGTTCTAGACCAGCCTGGCCAACATGGTGAACCCTTGTCTCTACTAAAAATACAAAAATTAGCTGGGTGTGATGGTGGGTGCCTGTAATCCCAGCAACTCAGGAGGCTGTAGCAGGAGACTTGTTTGAACTCGGGAGGTGGAGGTTGCAGTGAGCCGAGATCGTACCATTCCACCACTCCAGCCTGGGTGATAGAGTGAGACTCCATCTCAAAAAAAAAAAAAAAAAATGCCATGATATTAGATACATTTACATTTATATTCTTAAAGGTCCTAAATTGGACCTGAATGATCCAAGAAATTATTTGTGTGAGTGGATTTTTATTCTCTGTATTTGTTAACAATGCAGAAATTATTGTCTTTTATATTGTTTAAAAAAATTGAAAGTACACAATGTCAGAAATGATTTGCTTCAGTTAAATAAGAACTCACAGCTATTTAATTGCAACTGGACTTTTATTGTGCAGTTACAACAAATTTTTTCAGAAAAATATTTGGAAAAATATACCACTTCATAGCTAAGTCTTACAGAGAAGAGGATTTGCTAATAAAACTCAAGTTTAGAAAATTAAGATTCAGGTAGTGCTTCTGAACTAATGCCCACAGCTCCAAAACAGATATGTCCTATTTGGCCATTCAAATCCAGGATAAGGACATTGTGATGACTCAAACAAGGTATTTTTTAGAACTTTGGTTTTAAATTACTGTTCCTTGATATTACTTATAAAGTGTGTCTGACTCTTGATTTTTAAAACTAAGTATAATTTCCTCATTTCATAAAAGGCCAATGATACTGAGTCGGATAAATGAGTATCATGCTACTTTATTAAATGTGTCTGTTTTTAATACTAGTACTAATAAGGCAGTTTGACAAATTATTTCTTTGGGACTAAGATAATCACTTTTGTCCCCTTCAAAATTGTGTTTTAAGTGCTAATAACCACAGGCAGATTGCAAAGAACTGATAAGGCAACAAAAGTAGAGAATTTTAGGATCAAAGGCATAAAACTGAAAGGTGACAGTAGTACATAAGAGACAACTGGGGAAGGCAGCAGAGAAGCATATTTGTGGGTTGAAGTCTTTGTAAACAAGGAATGTGCACGTTTATTTTCTCTGATAACCTGCTTCCACAGTTGCCACCTGGAGGTTCTTGGTTGTGCTGGTAAAAGCTCATTTGCCCTTACACTGGATGTTGCAAATGTTTCCCTCTCCAGGAGCTAGTAAGTCTTCCAGTTATCTATTTTATATGTCTCCTGGCTTCTCAGGCAGTCCTTCTACTCTCTTTTATTGTTCATGAAAGACTTTGAAATTGAAGTAAAGCCAATATTTCAATGTAAAGATCTGAAAGAAGGCTACTATCCTATCAATGACACTCTCATCTGTCTTGTCATGAAGGCCAACCTGTATCATGATAATTATCACATGTAATGTAAATTTGTTTGTTCATCTCTGTCATTCATTCAGTCATCTTTTTTATTTATTTGTTTATTCATCTCTTTCTCTTCCATCTTGATTGACCCACTAGCTCACTGATTATTCAAGACTTGTAGTTCATGTATGTCATGGGATGACGTATAATACAGCATATATTTCAAAGATAAGTCTTGGAAATACTGTACACAAGATATCATACTCTATTAAAATGTGAATCAGGGACAAGGGAATGGTGCTTGGTGATAAAACTATCCTACCATAGTTGCTGAGAGAGGGCAGCAACAGAGATTAGACTTCCAGCTGATATGGATCCAGCAGGTATCGCTATTACACCCTGGGGAAATAGGGGTCCAGGGCAGAGAAGAAACCTGAAATTAAAATACTTAGATACAGGCAAAACTCACTGGTCTCTGTCCCTATGTATACTAAAAAATTTAGTGGGACATGCTGCTTTATGTGGCTTTGTGTTTTCTTATCAGTACTTATTTTATATTCCTAATTGTACATTTAAAGCAGCAAATGACCTTGCAGCAAAAGTGGCTTGGTGTGAGATACAAAATGAATGAAAAACAACCACACCTATGCTTTTGTCACTCAATCTGAACTACTCTTCATGACCTGGACATGTTTTATACGAATGGGAAACTTTCTGCCCTTAGCCTTGTAACTTCAGATCCTTGTATGAATGAGTTTGGTTGTTTTTCTATTATATAAATTATAGATTGCAAGTACAGTGGGACAGTACAAATTGTGGAACTCAGTAAAATTAAAGTTGAATGATGAGGTGTCCAAAGGCAACTGAAATATGGCATGTTTCAAATAATGTTTTCCTTGCTCATGTAACTTGGAGAATTCACTCTATTTAATTGTGGGTTTCAAAACATGAGTGTTAAAATTAGAGGTAGATTTTCTGCCTGCTTACAAGGCAAATACATATTTATCTTATTAAAGAGGTTATAAGCTTTTTTTTTAACCTTTAGTTTTTAATATCAGTGGTGTATTGCGGCTCTAACATACACAGGCTTAAATAATTTTCTTTTCATTTAAACTCACTGTGTACCAAATCTTATGAAAAGATAATCCTAGAAACTGTCTTAATTTTCCAACAAGTTGTCTTAATTTCATTTTCCCCTTTCCCAATTTTCTGTTACCACTGATCTTTTGTTTTAAAGTAGTCCTTTAAAACAAAAAGGGGTGTGTTTATGTTCTGTGACAGTAAAAATGAAAAAGAAAAACAGCTTCCCTAATAGGTGGCTATAAATGTCCTATAGGCTTGTGTTACCACTAAAAAATAACAAAAACCCAGAAAACGAGTACTCTCCTCAAAGGACAGTTTTATCTTTTCTGTTTTGCAATATAACTGTAAATCTTCATGCGTTACCTACCTGGTCTCACAGTAATTTTAATGGTGACTACCCCACTAGTCAATAAAATACTGGGGATAAATGCCCATATTCCAGCCCTTTGCACCTCCAAGACAGTAAAGCTTAATACACAATACTGAAAATTTCTACCTTGCAGAGTAGGCTTCTGTTATTTTTAAGATTTACTGGATTGCTGTTTATAAAAGGTACCCATGCTAGTCGTCTTGTATAGTTATATCACTGGCTTCTTAATTCAATGTAATAAACACTAATGTCATGGCTTCTATAAACTGCTATCGTTAGGAGGCGTTAGGCACAAAGTCTGAGTTGTCCAGTAACAGCTGTAATTATTTAGGGCCCTGAGGTCCAAGGTGGTAGTTACACTTCTCTTCTACAAAAATAAATATCTTATTAAAGACAGCCTTCATTTGTGTCAAGAAGCAGAGATCCTTGACGCATGATTTTGACCAACAAGACTTACTGTTAATCACTGTGAATTGAGTGCCATCCCCTTGCCAAGGAATTTTAGAAAAGCCCTTTACTTATCTGGACTTTTTTGGGTATAAATTAACAAAAATTGTTATTTTAAAGGACAACTTTTAAAATAACTATTTAGAATTTGGGGCAGTTTTTATTCCTTAGCATTTTCTTTGGTGATGCCATTACTTAGGAAGAAGTGCTATAAGATACAGCTCATTATTGGGTGTCACAGGTCCTCTGTTTAGCCCTTCAGATGACTAAAATCTAAGACTAAACAATTTGCTGTTAACGTAGAAGTTCTTCAAATGCATAATGCATTTCATCCTAGATATTCTAACACTAGTGACATTATCGTAGACACGTTTTGAAATCCAGATAGTTATTTGTACTTTTGCACACCAGATTTTGCGTTTGTTGCATGTATTTAAACTAGCACCTCCACAGTCAAACTGTTGTCATCCTACAGCCTCAAGGCTCCTCACTCTCGATGTATGGAATGTCATGGTACTTGATGTTATTGCATGCCCATTGCTGCAAGGCATCACACAAGATATCCTGGGACAGGTGGTGTGCATATTCCAAGATCACAGGATTGGTCCCTGGGGGTTCCTTCACTTCCTCTTTGACATTGACTAGAGAAGGCATCCTAGGTTGACATTTCTCTTCTGGCATAAAGGGTTCTTCACTCTCATGCTGCTTCTCACTTTCATATAAGTTAGGAAATGGGAAAGTTTGCTTTGATTTCATGCAGCCCATGTTAGGAAGAGCTGTTTATGGAGGAAGCAGTGGCAAAGTCTACTTCCAGGCCATCTTTAGAAAACAATGAAGTTTGTCCATGTGACGTTGACCAGTGCTTTCCCTCTCCAGGCCACTTCAGTAATCAGCGTTCCTTTCACCACTCTTCACATGTAGTGTTTACCTGTCAAGAGAAGGGAGGTTTCATTTTGAAGTTACGGAATGCAAAAGAATGTATGATTGAGTGGCATGTAAAAATCCTTTCATCACTTTGGTCACATGGAAGAAACGTAAAAAACAAACAGCTTTATCTTACCATTAGAAGAAAAAGATAATCACTCAATAAAAATGGCAATTTGCAAAATAGGAAAACTTTTTTTTTTCAGGATCTTGCAAATTTTTAAAAACTGAAAACAGTTAAACTTTTGCTAGCTTAGATTTATCTATAAGGGTAAGCAAACCATAGGTCTTGGGCCAAATTCCAGCTGTTTTTGTACAGCCATTGTCACTTCTTTACATGTGTCCATGTTCTGCTGCATTCATACTACAATAGCAGAACTGAATAGTTGTGACATATCATGTGGCCCACAAAGCTTAAAAATATTTACTATCTGACCCTTTACAGAAAACATTTGCTGAATCCTGATCTATACTGTCAAGCAAAACAAGCACATAAAAATTTGTTCCTCCCCAAACCTCATGAGCCTACAGACCTTGCACTACTATTAGATTTTGGCTTTATCTCCTGGTCAGATATTTACAACTGAAAGAGTAGTAAACAGTGTTTGCTTTACTCTAGTGCTGCTTCTCAACAACAGTGCAGGTTAGACATAGCAAAGCCACCCATTTTTCCTTCTGACTGTTCCCTGTGAAATTGTACTAAAGCTCAGATTAAGGTTAAAGAGTTTTCTGCCTATCTCATTCCTACCCTGGTTTGATGTTTGGACAGTAGAGGATGACAATGCTTGTGATGTTCCTCCTAAGCTTCCCAAGTGAGTATTATCACTGAATGAGCTTCTCTTAAGAGGCTTAAGGATAGCTAAAACAATACAAGACAGCTTCATTTTAAAGAGGACTATCTGTAAGAGAACACAGGTAATCTCTATGAATGATATTAATGGTTCCTGATGGTATCTTAGTTTTTGTACTAAAAACATAGCTCTAAAAATTCATAAAATTTGTTTCTGAAAACACTGATTTTTTTTTTTTTTTTTTTTTTTTTTTTTTTTAAGACAGGGTTTTACTCTGTTACCCAGGTTGGAGTAAAGAATGCAATCATGGCTTACTGCAGCCTGGACCCCCTGGGTTCAGATGATCCTTTCACCTCAGCCTACTGGATAGCTGGCCTTCAGGCACAAGCCACCATGCCCAGCTAATTTTTTGTAGAAACAGGGTTTTACCATGTTGCCCAGGCTCTTCTTGAACTCCTAAGGTCAAGTGATCTGCCCACCTCAGCCTCCCAAAGTGCTTGGATTACAGGTATGAGCCACTGCGCCTGGCCTGAAACCACTGATCTTAAGGCAGAAGCTTGCATGCATCTAAATCATTTTTAAATAGTTGGTAATTAAAGATGTCCAGAGGAGTTGATGTTTGCCAGGTCTACTGCCATATATTATTCTATAAATTCTACCCAGTTTCTCTCATACTACTACTTCTCTTCCTACCCCTAAAAAAAGTGATATGAGGGGTAGGAAAGGAAAGCCAGTCTTCTGCTTTTAATTACCTTTAGTTCCGTAGGCCCTGCTTCATGCTCCAGATTTCAGAGATGTTAATTTAAGAAGGAAACAGATATGTGTAGTGTCCATCTTGCTTACTAGCCTGAACTAAAGATGGTGACTGTCTTGGTTGTGCATCATCAGCATGTTAGGATTTTTCATAGCGTCTATTTTTTACTGTGAAGGATGGTTCAGGGAATTGGACATGGTTAACCTGAAAAAAATTACTTTGAGAACCCAGTGAGTGTCAATAAAAGGCTGTGAGTGGAACCATCAGAATATTCTGTGTTTTAAGATCTTTTGTTTTGCAAAAGCAGCTTTTTCTTACCCTAACAAAGGAAGTAGTGCCAGATTTGTGCATTCACCAAAACCAATTTTAAAATGGGACAAAATATATATTGGCATGTATTTTCAGGCATAGAGCAACAAGGAGCACTGGATTGCGAGCCCTGAGAAGAAAAACACAAGATGTTAAATCCCACAGTTGGTCATTGTGGGATTCTACCTGGGAGTATCTTCCAGCATTACCATGGGAGGCTGAGCCCCAGGAGAGTCAGAGAGTGGCAACTCTGATGGAACAGAGGTTTGGGTTACTGAAACAGCTGAAATTTTTAAGATAGAGTTCAAGATTGGGAAGGGAGGCAGAAATTTGCATGGGACTTGTCAAGGGTGCTGGGATGTGCATCTCCAGGATAAGGATCTGCAAGATCTCAGCAAAAGATTACTTGCTCTAGGACCTAAGAGGTGAACAGTGACACCAGACGTTATACAGTACTTAGAATCCTTGGAATTGCAGGCTGAGTGGAGCAATCTTATTTAGTTACAACTCAAGAAATGTGATGCCTTAGGAATCAGTAGCATACTCTAAACAGGGACTGACATGTGTTTTCTTAAAGGGCTATGACTTAGGCTTGTGAGCCAGGATGTTTGTGGCTTCTCCAGATTCATATATTGAAACCTAATCTCCAAAGTGATGGTATTTGGAGGTGGGGCCTTTGGGAGATGGTTATTACAGTATTAGTTCCCTTATAAAAGAGACCCCAGCAAGTTCCCTTGCCCCTACTGACATGTGGGGACACAGTGAAAAGCTATGAACCATAAAGCAGCCTTTCACAAGACACCGTATATGCTCCTGCCTTAAACTTGGACTTCCCAGCCTCCAGAACCATGAGAAATAAATTTTTGGTATTTATAAACATCCAGTCTTAAAAATACTACATGCTGGTCTCTTTTTGTTAGACCATCCTGAAGGGACTAAGACACATAGATAGGGTCTATGTCACAACTACTCAGCTCTACTATTATAGCACAAAAGAAGCCAGATAATATATTAATATTAAACAAATGGGCATGGCTATATCCAATAAAACTTTGTTTACAAAAATAGCCAGCCTATGGACCACATTTGATAAGTTCAAACAAACAGTTTCCTTTAACAAGAAATAAAACAATACCATTTAAAAGAAGATAACATAAGCCAGACTCCTTACACGGTATTACTCACAATGCTTACCATTCAATTTAAAAATCGCTAGCCATACAAAAAAGCAAGAAAATTTGACCCAAAATCAAGAAAGAAGAAAAAAAAAAAAAAAAAAAAAAAAAAAAAAAAAAAAAAAAAAACCAAAGTAACCCAGAATTTCTTAATAGAAATAATAGAACTTTAAAGTAGCTATTTAAGTATACTCAAGAACATGAAAAAACTGGTGTGCAAAAAGACAATCTTAGAGAAATGGAAATTGTAAAATAATAAAGATGAAAAATCAGTAACTAAAATGTGTAAGATGTGAAATGAAAAATTCATTGTGTGGACTATTGAATGTTGCAAAAGACAGGATTAGTGAACTTGAAAAATCTATAGATATATCCAATCTGAAAAATAGAGGGAAAAGATTTAAAAAAGTAACCACTAAACAGAATGCAAGTATGACTTATAAGCCAAAAGAAATTAGATACGTTTAATCCAGAAGAAGATAGGAAAGGAAGAACATTGGGGATGGGGAGGGACAATTAGAAAATCAACAGCAAGATGACTGCCTTCCATATGAAAAATTACCTCAAAGGAAATGGACTAAAAATAAGAATTGAAAGGCAGAGATGATCAGACTAATTTAAAGATCCAAACCACACATATATAGTCTTTTCAACAATGAATGCTGGAACAACCAAACCATCCGTATGCCAAAAACAACAACAATAACAAAAAAACCTAGACACAGCTCTTAAACCCTTCACAAAATTAATTTGAAATGAATCATAGACGTAAATATAAAACATCAAACTACAGGACTTCTAGAAGATAACATAGGAGACAATCTAGATTACCTTGGGCTTGGTGACAACCTTTTTAGATTTAGTGTTAAAGGCATAATTGATAAGTTGGACTTCACTAAAAAAAATGCTCTAAGACATGGTTGAGAAAATACTGTAAAAGCATATTTGATAAAAGATTGTTATCTAAAAGTGAACAGCAAAAATGTGAACAAGCTAATTAAAAAATGGGCAAAAGGTCTGGACAGAAACCTCACTGAAATCTTCTTACAGATGGCACATAAACATATGGAAAATGTTCAACCTCATGTCATTAAGGAATTGTAAATTATAACAATGAGATAATGGCAAAAGCAACAGAACTCTCATCACTGAGAATGTGAAGTGGCATGGTTACTTGGGAGGGCAGTTGGCAGTTTCTTATAAAACTAAACGTTCTTACTATACTATCCAACAGTTGTGCTTCTTGGTATTTACCCAATGAGTTGAGAGCTTAATCTACACATGGATGTCTGTAGCAACTTTTTTCATAACTGCGAAAACATAGAAGCAAGCAAGATGTCCTCCTTGGTGAATGGGTAAGCTGTGGTACATCTAAACAATGACATATAATCAGCATTAAAAATAAATGAGTTAGCCTGGGCATAGTCACTCACACATACAATACCAGCACTTTGGGAGGCTGAGGCAAGTATCACTTGAGCCCAGGAGTTCAAGACCAGCCTAGGCAACATAGCAAGACCCTATCTCTACAAAAAAAAAAAAAAAAAAAAAAAAAAAAAAAAATGAAAAAATTAGCCAGGCATAGTGGTGCACACCTATGGTTTTAGCTACTCAGGAGGCTGAGGTCGCTTGGGCCCAGGAGATGGAATTGAGGTTATGTTAAGACTGATTGTACCACTGCACTCCAGCCTGGGTGACCAAGTAAGACACCTTCTCAAAAAATAATAATGCAGCCATGGAAAGAAAAAGAGGAACTTCAAATGCTTATTACTAAGCTAAGCCGATCTGAAAGGGGTACATGTTGTATGATTACAACTATATATGACATTCTAGAAATGGCAGAACTCTGGAGACAGTAGAAAGACCAGTGGTCTTTACCCATGGAGGAAGCTGAGATGAATAGGTGGAGCACAGATAATTTTTAGGACAATGAGATTATTCTATATGATACTAATCATGGTGGATTTCTGTGATT